TATATATATATATATTTGCTGGCTTGTGATGGGGTGTGAACCGACAGTCTGTAGAGGTTTCCATCTGGTGTGGGTGAGTGATAGTCTACTTTGATTTTGGTTAAGGTAGATTATCATTTACAGTGTAATCAGTGAGGGGATTCTGCAGACTGTTGAGGGTTCAGCCTCCTGACGATATATAGTCATAGTCATAGAGAGCTGCCTGGTGAAGCGTAGGCAAAGAGGGAGAAGAGGACAACAAACGAGGGGCTGTGACAGCCTGTGAAAACCCGTCAGATGCGTACGCGTGTACAGATCGGGGGAATGTACTAATGCGTACGCCTCTGACGTGCAGCCGTCAGATGTGTACACGTGGAAATATACTAAGCCGTTGAGATCGGAGAGCGTGAACAAAAAAAGAAAAGAAAAAAAAGAATGGAGCGTGTGAACGGGCGGGCCAAACAACATGAAATTGAATGCGGTCTGGAGTGTGTGAAAGGGGGGTTAAAGGGGGTTAAAGAATCCGGACTGGGATCTCGATGCAGCGAGTGTGTGGTGTGGCAGGGTGCAAGAATTTGGAAAAAAGCAACGACGTAGTGTGTTGGGTTACGTTTAAAGAGAGGGGGGCGGGGGGTGGGAGGGGGAGTCGAAAAGGAGGAGGGATAAAGGAGTGAAAAGCATAAAGAAATGTCGTCAGTCGTCAGTCGTCAGTCGTCAGCTACTCCAAGAACGGAAAGAAAATGGAATAGCGGAAAAAAAAAAGGGGGGGGAAAGAAAAGTCCGTAGAGGCAAAAAATAGTAAGTTTACATGAAGAGGTATCTAAGAGAGAATAGAGGACATCTGTCGCTCCTTTCTGTCTCCGTTTATAATCCCTGCGTCGGTCGATATTTGTCTGTCTCCGTTTATTGTCAGCTGCGTTGTTGGATGATGTTCTATGTCCCCGAAATCGATGCTCTCTCTCTCTCTCTCTCTCTCTCTCTCTCTCTCTCTCTCTCTCTCTCTCTCTCTCTCTCTCTCTGTGTGTGTGTGTGTATCTCTCGGTCTCGCGCGCTTTACATAATCGCTGCCTGAATCTCATTCTTCTTCATTTCTTCTTTCTTTTTTTTTCTTCTTCGTTGTTGTTGTGGTTGTTTTTCTTCTTCTTTTTCGGCTGCTGCTGCTGATGAGGATGATGGCCGCTGCTGCTCCGCATGATGATGAATGCTGCCGCTGCTTCTGCTTCGGATGATGATGAATGCTGCCGCTGCTGTGGCTCCGGATGATTATTGCGGCTGCTGCTGCTGCTGCTGCTGCTGCTGATTAATGATGATGATGATGATGATTAATGATGATGATGATGATGATTAATGATGATGATGATTGATGATGATGATGATGATTGCTATTGCTGGCGCTGCTGCTGATTTCTGCCGTTGCTGCTGCTGCTGCTGGTGATAATTGCTGCGACCGCTGCCTTCTTCGTTCTTCTGCTTCGTTGGGTGTCAGTTTTCTTCTTTGCCGCCGGCTGTTTCGCGACTTCGTTTACGTACCACCGTTGCGAATAGTTTTTCTATCGTATCTTTCTAGCGGCTGTGTTGCGTTTTGCCTTTGTGGTTACGTCTTTTTGGATTGTTTTCAACGCTTGGATGAAGTGTCTCTACTTCTTTCGTCTCTTCTCGTTCATTTGTTAATTATCTTTTGCGTTTCTGTGGACACACCAAAAGGCGTGTGTGTAGTCAATGGTGGCGGGCAACTGGCAAAAGGAGAATCAAAAGTAAGACTGCAGAGTGTGTGTGTGTGTGTGTGTGTGTGTGTGTGTGTGTGTGTGGGGGAGTGTGTGTGTGTGTGTGTGTGTGTGTGTGTGTGTGTGTGTGTGTGTGTGTGTGTGTGTTGGGGGGGGGGGGGGGGAGGGTTGGGGGGACAATAGTTCTGCGAACGTGCCGCGGCACGTTGCATAGAATGATATGTCTATATTTATATAAAGTACGCTTGAAAACGAACCCGCAGTCAGGAATGGCCATGGAACGAAGACGGACAATGTCATGTCCTGAAAGACCCGGGGGAAGAAAAAAAGAAGCCTAAGGCAAACAGCAGCAAGCCAAAAGGAAGCAAGGCCAGAGCAGCAAGCCAAAAGGATGCAAGGCCAGAGCAGCAAGGCAAAAAGCGGCAAGGCAAATGGCATGAGGCGACAAGGGATTAGACAATCAAGCAGCAGAAAGGTACATAGGCTGGCATCCAAACAAAGGCAGCAAAGGAAAAGACAGCGAGCCAAAAAGCAACAAGCAATCACAAGAGACATACGCTGGAGGACACCGGGGAGAGGCAGGCAGGCGGGCGGGCAGACAAACAAGAAACAATCGGAAGGCCAGGGGGGCAAACAGAAGCAATGCGAAAAGAAGGCAGACAAGAAAAGTGCATGCGGCCCACAAATTAGCATAGTTTAAAAGAGAGAAGGAAGAGGGGGGGGGGGAAGTGCAAGTCCCAATAAGCCTTAGGAGTAGTGGTAGGTAGGTAGGGAAGGTGAATTGAAAGCATTTGAAAGATGATGAAGGATTTCAGAGAAGACTATAGCGTAGTTTTCTCATAATTAAAAAAAAAGAAAGAAAAAGGAAAAGGCAAAGACCAAAAAAAAAAAAAGCTGATGATGAAATGGTTAAAGATTGTTTCGTCGGAGGTGCACTGACGCATCAGGAGGCTGAACCCTTTGACAGCCTGCAGCAACCCCATATTGATGCTTTGGGTCATTAACCCATTGACCCTTGTTGAAAGCACAGACTGACTGCGAGCAAGCACCACCACAAGTGGAACTTAGCAGCAGGCAACGACTCAGCGAAGCACCAGGCGACGCTAACGGGGCAACCCGAATTCAGCATCCTACAGGATTTGAACCTGTGACCTTCAACTTAGAAGGTTGTTGCTCTATCCAGCTGAGCTAAGAATGCAACTCACCCAAAAGAGTCAACGCAGACTGACAGCGAGCAAGCAACACCACAAGTGGAACTTAGCAGCTGGCAACGACTCAGCGAAGCACCAGGCGACGCTAACGGGGCAACCCAACTGCAAAACCTGGAAGCTGAATCCACAGAACGACAGTGCAAGCACACTGGCAGCAAAGCAACAGCACAGCGAAGCACAGAGCTGCGCTGCAGCAGTGGCAAACGGCGGGGGAAGATAAGGCACGTGGATGGGCAGCAAAGCACAAGGCAACACCAGCAAATCAGCCTAACTGCAAGTCAAACAGCAGACCAGCTGCAAGGGAAGACACGAGAAGCAAGCAGAGGCCAGCTGCAAGGAAAGGCGCCGGAAGCAAGCAGAGACTGGCAACAAGGAAAGACGTGGGAAGCATGCAGGATGGGCAGCAGGGCAGCAGAGGAGCATGGACAAGGGAATTAGCACATCATCCAACACGGACCAAAGCAATCCAGCACGCACTCACACCACAAGTAGAGCCCCACAGACTGTTGCTTCCCACCACCTGCTGCTGCCAGTAAGCCATTCTGACCGAATCTACCATCACCCATAGACCAAATGCATCACAGACATCACGGAAAGACAGCCCCCCTCCGTAATAGTGCTGCAGGCACTACAAACAATGGACCACGGACTGTTTAGCACTTCTTAAAGGTGCTCACTTAGAGGCACACACAAAGTAGTTTGGAACTTCGGAAAAAAAAAAGAAAGAGGGATTTTTTTATTATTTTTTATTTTTTTTGGTGTGTCTGTGTGTGTTTGTGTTTGTGTTTGTGTGTGTGTGTGTGTGTGTGTGTGTGTGTGTGTGCACGCATGTCTATTTGGGGAGAGAGAGAGTCTGTGTGTTTGGGCAGAGAAGTGTGTCTTTTCGTTGTGGAGAGAGAGAGAGAGAGAGAGAGAGAGAGAGAGAGAGAGAGAGAGAGAGAGAGAGAGAGAGAGAGAGAGAGAGAGAGAGAGAGAGAGAGGGCACAAACCACGAGATAACTGGTGAATTCAAGAACGTTTGAACTGCCTCATCTGTTTTCGAGTAGGTGGCTGCATAATCCTTTCTTTGTCGTGTTTTGTACTCTGAAAAGTTGCGTGCTCTTCGACACTCATGTGTACCCGACATTGTGAGATTTTGTGCGATTTTGACCTTCTCTACCAGTGCAATTCTTCTCTGTTTGCAATAACTCCCGCGTTGCATTCAACCTTCTACACCTTATTGCCTAAACTGTGATGAAATGACAGCAGCGCGATTGCCTTTTTCGACCATCCTGTCCATTTCTTACGGAAAAGAACAGTTAAATATATGTGCTTTGGTAATTAGAAGGAGCAGTGGCTGTTTGAACATATCTGCAAGATTAGCAGCATTGTTTAGTGCCCAATGCGAACCCTTTTTTTTTTTTTTTTTTTTTTTTTTTTTTTTTTTTTTTAAGGGACATGCTCGAATCTATTCGTGGGGAGCAGCACGTGCTGGGAACCGGGCCCAGCGTCCCATTCAAGATCACATTGAAAAAAATGAGAAATTTATAAAGAAATCCTTGAGATGCAATCAGACTCCCTCTCACTTACACTTTGCATGCATGTAAACAGGCAGCACAGCAAACTGGCGACAAGCGCCGACTCAAAACTCAGAGATATGGTAGCTCAGAACACAGTCAGATACAAGCTCACTTCAAATGGCTATGGCGCCTCAACGCCTGTACAACTCTCTGTTCGTCACTGCACCCAACTCCACTGTTCACACGCCCTCAACTTAGGATCACCCTGGATATCCCACACGCATCACACTGTATACACACACATACACACACACTACACTCTCCTAACAACTATGGCGGCTATGGCCGCTACTACCCCTATCGCTATGGCTAAGCTCTCCTTCTCGCCCACTTTGTCTTCGGGCACACTGCAGACCACCTTGCACAAGTCGCTGTGGCAGCGCTTCCGCATGGCTTACGCAGGAATGAATGAATGGCTGGGCGCCGCCTCTTGATTTATACTTCTGTAGCTCGTTGGTCTGGCCCTTTTGCCCGTGGTGCACACAGTCCCGTACAGTACTTGCTTGACTGGACTAGGACTGACTGGGACTGGGACTGCTGACTCAGCACGGGTGAACTCCACCACTTGCCCACTTGCCTCATCTTAAACGTGAGCAGCTTCGAAAGGCCAGTACTAGGACCTTCCGGAAGTTTCAGTCCTGGCCTTTCGGATACTGTAGCAGCTACGACCTTGACCTTTCAGGACTGTAGCAGCTACGACCTTGACCTTTCAGAGGTCCTACAGCCACGACTTCTAGAACTCCCTAAGACCACTATTCGACAGGTCTACAGATCGAACCCCTACAATCTACAGACCCTACGACAGTCTACCAACTGTGGGAACAGACACAGGTCGTGGGTTCAACTCCTGGGGTCGACACAGGTAATGTACACAGGTACGGTAAAGTCTAGGGATCGAGCCCTGGGATCTACGTTCGCTACTGCGAAAAGGTGAATACGGTTTCAGAGATACCGGGGCCAAAAGACAACTGTGTAATCTACACAAGAACACTGAAATTCTCTGTCCCCCAAAGCTCGGATCAAAGAAGCATTCCGGGCCCAATGCGAACCCTATACCTTGCAAGAAGCAAATTCGAAGTTCGAAAGGTATAGACAAAGAAATGGACTTTCTCGATTGCTGTCCATCACAACGGAGGGACGGAGAAGGGAAATGGAGATGGACATTTCTGACTCCCGTCCGTTCACTGTGATGGACACCAGTCGATAAAATTCATTTCGTTGTCGGCGTCTTTCGCGAACTTTTCATTTGATTCTTAGTAATGCTTGCAGTGTTCCCGTTGGTCACTAACCGATGGTGTCAATATTTCTGATAGGTTCGAACTGCGACTTTTCATTCTGCAAATTATTTCTGATATGTTCAAACTGCCACTGCTCCTTCGTGCATCTGTACATCCTTAGAACACCTCCCTCCTCCCTCCTCCCTCTCCTGATCATTTACCCTCTCTCCCTACTCCTCGCTGCCCCTCACCCACAGCCTCCCTTTCAAAAGTACTCTTGCCAATACCTATTCCCTCCGTTCCAGCTCGGTGTTACGGTTCTCCCCCTCCCTCTGCACAAACATCTTGATTACCCCGTTCCCTCGTCTCAAGGCTTGCCCAATTCCACGCAATGCCTTCTTTTCTGCTTCGCCGCCTCCTTCATGCTCATATTAGACTCCCCGATTGACGTGTGCTGAGGTGCTCACAGGAAAGAGGTGGTCGGAGAGCACTCTTCTTGAATTCCTTTCGACCCGGAGGGGAGGGTGAAATCTGATCTGTGATTGGGGGTCACAGATGAGAAAGGAGAGGCAGGCGGCGAAGGGGGGGGGGGGGGGGTGTAATTAAGAAGTATATCGGCATTTGCCTGTTGAAGATTGCATAGGTGCTATAAGAGGTTTGCTGAATTGAGGGGATTACATCATTACAGTGTTAATCCCGAAACAAAACATCTGATCTGTGATTAGGGCTGCCCGATGGGGATTGGGGGGGAGGGGTGTTTACCAGGTATATCGGCATTCATTTGTCGAAGATTGCATCGCTGCAAAGAAGTTGCTGAATGCAGAGGATTACGCCGTTAATCCCAAAGCATCTGAGGCTAGGAAGCCGAAGAGAGCGTACACGCCGTATACGGAAGAGGACGATGAGAAGATTAAGGAGTTTGTGAAGCAGAGGGTTCTTGATCCGATCGAGAAGGCGAAACTGGGTTGCGGAGGTATTCGCGGCAACAAGTTATGGCAGTTGTTGGAGGAGAGTGGCATCGTACCACATCCATGGTCGTCGATAAAAGATCGATTTGAGAACAAACTCCTCTACGAAGACCCTTTGTTTGACGAGATGTACAAGCCAGGCCGTAAGGTGCAGTTCGAGTCCGAGGTAGCAACAGGAAAGCCAGCTGCCTCACGGAGTGCCCAGGGCGCTTGTGTCGATGTAGCTGAGGTCTCCAAAGCGCAATATCAAATGAGTCTCCCCCCTCCTATCGAGCCTCAGCCGACGACGGTCCACAAAGACTCTACAGTTTCTTGGAATCTAGTAAATTGTCACATCAACCGCTGCACGGCAGAGGGGACAAGAGACCATCAACAGCAGCAGCAACAACAACAGCAAAAGCAGCAGCAGCAAAAGCGGCAGCAAGATGAAGAACAGCGACAGGAGACACGACAGCAAAAGCAGCAGCAGCAGGAAGACCAGCTGCAACAAACACGACAGCAGCAGCAGCAGCAGCAGCAGCAGCAGGATGTCCAGCTGCAGCAAACACAACAGCAAAAGCAGCAGCAGCAGGAAGACCAGCTGCAGCAACAGCAGCAAGAGCAACAGCAACAGCAGCAGAGCATCAAGAGTAAGTCTCTTCCCACTGCCACTGCTACTGCAGGTATAACTACGACACCTAGAACAGCCACGATTGCAACTCCTGCCCCTGCAGCTCCTGCTGCTCCTACTGCCACTGGTATTTGCGCTAGTAGCGAGTGCACAGAGCAGCCTCTCACATCACGGAGAGAAAAACACAAGAAGGCATCCGACACGTATGGTGACTCTGTCCAAGAGACATCGGTGCAGAGATTATTCCTGAAGAGGAAAGTATCCCCTGCTCACCAAGCCTATGGTGTGGGAGGGGTTGCTATAGAGGTTATTGACGTGGACGAGCTGTCAGCCGCATCTTCGAGTTCATCCAAAAAAGCACGCCTCGATGATGGTATGGACGGCGAGGAGCTATGCAGCGCTCGGAGGTCCGCAGGAAGGGAGAAGACAGCAGGAACAGAAAACAAGCGGGAATCCGAAGAGCGGCAACAGGATGGCTCCGGGGCGGTTGTCGGCCTACCCCTGGCCTGTCGTGCGATGGATATGGCTGTCGAAGAACAAGAACTGTCCGACCGTTTCTTGGATCTTTGCCAGCGGGATGCTGAAGTGGATGTGAGTTTTGCAGCTGTTGCTGGTCTTAGTCGCCCACCTCCGGTTGCCCTCGAATCTGGGGGGACTGCTGCTGCGGAAAACCGTGGTCGTGGAACCGTGTACAATAACGAAGAAGACGAGAGCGGCGCGTGGAGAGAAGAAGAAAAAGAGGTTGGGAAAAGCTGTGGTGTTTTAGCACACACCATGGATGTAAATGAAAGCGCTAGCCATGCCGACCCTCAAACAATGGACTCTGCAGATGTGGTGGTGATGGGAATAACAAGTGTAGCGGCTGAAGCTCGTCCGCACAACGACCCTTATGATGACGCCGAAGGGAATGACATCGTGGATGTGCATGAAAGTGCTCGCCTTGCTGACCCTGGAAGAATGGACTCTGCTGATGCGATGGCAATACCGAGTGCAACGGCAACTGGAGCTCATCACCGCAATGAGCCTTGTGATGACAGCAAAGGCAAGGAGGACCTTTCCATCGCTGAGCCAACAACAAGTGTGGCGATGGCAGTAC